CAGGGGATACTGTCAGCTGCATGTGTTCAGTGTTGTTCAGGGGATACTGTCAGCTGCGTGTGTCGAGTGTTGTTCAGGGGATACTGTCAGCTGCATGTGTTCAGTGTTTTTCAGGGGATACTGTCAGCTGCATGTGTTCAGTGTTGTTCAGGGGATACTGTCAGCTGCATGTGTTCAGTGTTGTTCAGGGGATACTGTCAGCTGCATGTGTCGAGTGTTGTTCAGGGTATACTGTCAGCTGCATGTGTCGTGTGTTGTTCAGGGGATACTGTCAGTTGCATGTGTTCAGTGTTGTTCAGGGGATACTGTCAGCTGCATGTGTCGTGTGTTGTTCAGGGGATACTGTCAGTTGCATGTGTTCAGTGTTGTTCAGGGGATACTGTCAGCTGCATGTGTTCAGTGTTGTTCAGGGGATACTGTCAGCTGCATGTGTTCAGTGTTGTTCAGGGGATACTGTCAGCTGCGTGTGTCGAGTGTTGTTCAGGGGATACTGTCAGCTGCGTGTGTCGAGTGTTGTTCAGGGGATACTGTCAGCTGCATGTGTTCAGTGTTGTTCAGGGGATACTGTCAGCTGCATGTGTTCAGTGTTGTTCAGGGGATACTGTCAGCTGCATGTGTTCAGTGTTGTTCAGGGGATACTGTCAGCTGCATGTGTTCAGTGTTGTTCAGGGGATACTGTCAGCTGCGTGTGTCGAGTGTTGTTCAGGGTATACTGTCAGCTGCATGTGTCGTGTGTTGTTCAGGGGATACTGTCAGTTGCATGTGTTCAGTGTTGTTCAGGGGATACTGTCAGCTGCATGTGTCGTGTGTTGTTCAGGGGATACTGTCAGTTGCATGTGTTCAGTGTTGTTCAGGGGATACTGTCAGCTGCATGTGTTCAGTGTTGTTCAGGGGATACTGTCAGCTGCATGTGTTCAGTGTTGTTCAGGGGATACTGTCAGCTGCATGTGTTCAGTGTTGTTCAGGGGATACTGTCAGCTGCATGTGTTCAGTGTTGTTCAGGGGATACTGTCAGCTGCGTGTGTCGAGTGTTGTTCAGGGTATACTGTCAGCTGCATGTGTCGTGTGTTGTTCAGGGGATACTGTCAGTTGCATGTGTTCAGTGTTGTTCAGGGGATACTGTCAGCTGCATGTGTTCAGTGTTGTTCAGGGGATACTGTCAGCTGCATGTGTCAAGTGTTGTTCAGGGGATACTGTCAGCTGCATGTGTCGAGTGTTGTTCAGGGGATACTGTCAGCTGCGTGTGTCAAGTGTTGTTCAGGGGATACTGTCAGCTGCATGTGTTCAGTGTTGTTCAGGGGATACTGTCAGCTGTGTGTGTCGAGTGTTGTTCAGGGTATACTGTCAGCTGCATGTGTTCAGTGTTGTTCAGGGGATACTGTCAGCTGCATGTGTTCAGTGTTGTTCAGGGGATACTGTCAGCTGCATGTGTCGAGTGTTGTTCAGGGGATACTGTCAGCTGCATGTGTTCAGTGTTGTTCAGGGGATACTGTCAGCTGCATGTGTCGAGTGTTGTTCAGGGGATACTGTCAGCTGCATGTGTCGAGTGTTGTTCAGGGGATACTGTCAGCTGCATGTGTCGAGTGTTGTTCAGGGGATACTGTTAGCTGCATGTGTTCAGTGTTGTTCAGGGGATACTGTCAGCTGCATGTGTTCAGTGTTGTTCAGGGGATACTGTCAGCTGCGTGTGTCGAGTGTTGTTCAGGGGATACTGTCAGCTGCATGTGTCGAGTGTTGTTCAGGGGATACTGTCAGCTGCATGTGTCGAGTGTTGTTCAGGGGATACTGTCAGCTGCATGTGTCGAGTGTTGTTCAGGGGATACTGTCAGCTGCATGTGTCGAGTGTTGTTCAGGGGATACTGTTAGCTGCATGTGTTCAGTGTTGTTCAGGGGATACTGTCAGCTGCATGTGTCGTGTGTTGTTCAGGGGATACTGTCAGCTGCATGTGTTCAGTGTTGTTCAGGGGATACTGTCAGCTGCATGTGTTCAGTGTTGTTCAGGGGATACTGTCAGCTGCGTGTGTCGAGTGTTGTTCAGGGTATACTGTCAGCTGCATGTGTCGAGTGTTGTTCAGGGGATACTGTCAGTTGCATGTGTTCAGTGTTGTTCAGGGGATACTGTCAGCTGCATGTGTTCAGTGTTGTTCAGGGGATACTGTCAGCTGCATGTGTCGAGTGTTGTTCAGGGGATACTGTCAGCTGCACGTGTTCAGTGTTGTTCAGGGGATACTGTCAGCTGCATGTTTTCAGTGTTGTTCAGGGGATACTGTCAGCTGCGTGTGTCGAGTGTTGTTCAGGGGATACTGTCAGCTGCATGTGTCGAGTGTTGTTCAGGGGATACTGTCAGTTGCATGTGTTCAGTGTTGTTCAGGGGATACTGTCAGCTGCATGTGTTCAGTGTTGTTCAGGGGATACTGTCAGCTGCGTGTGTCGAGTGTTGTTTAGGGGATACTGTCAGCTGCATGTGTTCAGTGTTGTTCAGGGGATACTGTCAGCTGCATGTGTTCAGTGTTGTTCAGGGGATACTGTCAGCTGCATGTGTCGAGTGTTGTTCAGGGGATACTGTCAGCTGCATGTGTTCAGTGTTGTTCAGGGGATACTGCCAGCTGCGTGTGTCGAGTGTTGTTCAGGGGATACTGTCAGCTGCGTGTGCCAAGTGTTGTTCAGGGGATACTGTCAGCTGCGTGTGTCGAGTGTTGTTTAGGGGATACTGTCAGCTGCGTGTGTTCGGTGTTTTTCAGGGGATACTGTCAGCTGAGTTTCCGAACTTTCGCATCAGGACGTCTCTCCTGCAGGTGACTATGTCTTCTAGGAACTGTTCTACAATATGGAATGGTTTCCCTTATAACTCTTTCCCACAACGTTTGACAGCGTCCCTCTCACGGGTGAACATAAACGTGGCGATGACAGGGCGGGGACGCGGATCCTCAGCCCGACGGGGTGGTTGGTTTTTCTTCCCGATTTACGTTTAAAGTGCCTTTTATCACTTTCAAATTAAAGTTCATCCTAAATGACCTTCTGAGCACATTTTCAGTTTCTTCCCAAGTTCCACCATCCCCGTCGACTCCACTTAGCTCTTTGATGTTTGTAAATATAACACTGTGTCTCTCTTAGTTCCAAATCTTCTTCGTCAATGCTTTTCAATTCACCCATTTGTTGTTTGAAGGATTGTACGTCCCCTTCTATTGTTTTCTGGTCATTTTCCCACTCGTCAAGACTATCACTGATAAAGGTAGCATTGGCTTCAATGTAAGTAACGCGATCTTTCATCTATTGCCTTGACTTTCAGTTCCAGATTCGCAATGTTGACTTTAATATCACTTTCGTTCTTTTCTATCCTTTTCTATGCTGTTGCATCCTGATAAAGTTGTTGTGACTAGAGACTAATGTCCAGTTGGTGTTGTCCTTGTACAGAGGACACATCATATTCTGGTACAGGGGGTTACGTGTGATGATTGGTCCCTATGTGTAGGGACGTGGCACTCGTATATGAATGTCCCCTATATTCGAATCACAAGAGTCCTTTTCTTCTCTTGTTTTCATTGATTTTGCGACATATTGTATTTCTCTTGTCGATGTTTTGCATCAAAAGCTCAGTGTAAGGTTGAAATCTCGATCAGGAAACATTTGCAGTGAGAGCGATTCACAAACACGTCCTCTCCCGCCATCTTATGTCACGTTTGTATGGGCATAGATATCCCACCATAGTATCCTTACACGCCTGAGGGACGTAACTCGTCCACCTCAGGCTAATGTTCTTGTTTGAGAGGTAAAATATTGAAACACGCTGTGGCACAACTCCCGTTCTCCGTATGTAGTAATGCAATGTGTATTACTTTGATTTGATATGGATTAGACAGCTGTCTGTCGGTGGTGACCGGTCTGTGGTTGCTCTGAGATGGCATGCCGCAGTATATCATGAATGCCCAACCAAGACAGATTACGACAGGCGACCAGTCCTTGTTTTTCCCCTTAAAGCAGAGCGCGAGGCTAACATAACAACTACTTTTAACTCCCCCGGTAGGACTCAGCCGGACATCGAACAACCGACCTTATGGACTTATGTCCTATCCACTAGACCTCGAATTTAATTAACTAAAACCATCCATAGTCTATGTCAGTTAGGCTTCACATTGGTAATTGATCAAGACCTTCACTGAGTATAAGCTGATTGAGGGAACTGAACTATTTGTCTTGGAATAAGTGGCGATCATACGATGTGACATGTCATCTAACGGTGTTATATAGCTGGCGTGATGCTCATGCGTCAATACACACTCACGTTTTCAGTGAACTGTCCCTGAACCAGGTCAGTCAAGCCGGTATACGGGTCCTTCGGTACAATACGATACTTCCGTGAAATGGTGAGAGAGATATGGGCCTTAGCATTCTCTTCGAGTTACACATTAACCAAAAGACATGATCGTTTCTGTATTTTCAACGACGATCGACTTTCATTAAATCGTGAAGTTTAGCCAATGAATTTGTATGGTAATAATAAACACACCGATTACTGATCCAGGAGGAGGTAACTCTTGTCACCCTTCTGCAAACATTAGTCAGTATTGTTTACTAAGTAGGAAATATTTTGTTTCAAAAATATCTCTCGATCTGTAACGAAATCAGTTGTGAACCCACGTTACTAAGTAGGGAAAGATCGCAACTTGTTAGAGACACCACCTTCCACATATGGATGACAAGTTACCAACAAACCGACAAGACAGGAGGGGGTCCGGGCATGTTTGAGAACCAAAACATGGTCAAAATTAGCATGTATTATTTTAGTTTTTTTCTTATTTCATTTATTCAAAGAGCAAACCTCGTCGTGTTCCAGTCTGTTTTATCATGAAATATACACATTCATGTAAATATATGAAGTAATCAACGCCAGAGAATAACTATTCTCGATCGGCCGAACAGAATGGCTTGCCATTGGGCGTAAACACAAAATAGCGGTAAAAGTAAACTACTTCACTCTGCCGAATGTTAAGCTGCGTTGTATAATATTGCATTAATGCATTATCCTTTTATGTTTTCGGACAAATGTATGCAAACATCATCCAACCATAAACATTGACATATTAATGATGTGTTTAGTATAACAATAACACTATGAAAGTGTATACAGTTGACACTGCAACATTTATCTCGAATAAATTATCTGCTTGCTATCAAATACAAGAGAAGATGTTGTTTCCTCATAGATAAGGGACTTTTCTAAGCTAAGGGACCTTTCTTCACTTGTTCTACGCTAGCTTGCCCTATCAGCTGGAATGTTTATTGTCGTAGCCAGGCATGAACTGGTATTAGCAACGAAGCAGGAAACTGAGTCACATTATCTGTACGGTACACGTGTGTGTGGAGTGTCAGTATTTACACAGCGTCGCGTATGAAGGATGGCTTCTGTGTTCATCTCCCCTGTAAAACCTGGTAGCTTTCTGTACATGGTATTGATACTGATGAACCCGAGCCACACACACAGTACTACTAGCAATACTATCACAGGTGAGAAAGAGTTTTCATATTGTGGGTTGTCCCGTCTTGTGTATGAATGAGCACTTGTAGAGATGCGGGTGCAGGTGTATTTATTAGGTTTCCTACTTAGATTTTGTACTTTGATGTGGATTATTTGTATTGGAGTTACATTCGATTTCGATAATTCACTCTGTTTTAAGAAAATGATTATTGAGCCTGACAGTGTGTATACATATATTGTTTTGTCAAACACGATATATCAGAATAATTATCGCATTTTCAAGTGCCATTTTCTACAATTTATAGGCATGGCTACTCATGTTAGTTTATAAGTGTGTTGACCCTTATTTATATAAAACATCAACGCCAGAGAATAACCAGTCTCGATTATCCGACGAAACAGATTCCATTGTGCGTGAACGGCAAAATAGCAATGAAAAGTGTATGAGTCTCTGAAACTGTGAATAAACTAACTGAGCCATGGATATGACTTAACAAAAACATATTCTAAGCATGAGGGTAAAATATGTATTTCACGTAACTAAAAAGATCCCATGCTATAAATGCTCGATGTACTGGGGGTCAAGTGGAGTCACAACTCACTGTGCAGATTTCCATTCCTTATCCAAATCAGAATCCATTGCTACTTATAAACAGATACTTTTCAATATAGGATATTACATAGTTTTGAATATGATCCTTGGTCCATCAGCACTATTCCCGTGATTGTCGTTATTATTCTAAAAATGTCAAAACGTCGACGACGGTCGTCAATATGGCGCAAAATTGTGAAAAGGAGCAGCTTCTGTCATTAGCGTCATTACATGTGGTAGACTAAACGAAACTGCATATCTTTAGTAAATTAAGGATGTTTGGCCCTCATTCTATGAAGGTTAATACTAAATGAAAGTCAATTGTTATAAATGTTTTTCACATTTTGTTTACCTCAAAGGATTTTGGCCTGGATTTAAAAACAATTTTATTAAGTACGTGTGACATAATGTTTACACTGACAGCTATACAACAACCAGCTGTATCGCGGAATAAAATAGTTCCTCAAAACAAAGGTGACATGAGCTTATGTATGCATAACTTGCTCTTCAGAAACATCTGACACAACACATGTATTCAAATAATATCAACTTTAGATAAGAAAGGTCTGTTAAGAACTACCTCAGTAAGTCAGTCAGTCACAATGACAGCGCGTCGTACGCCGACACAATACACGTGATGGGAGCGATTTCGGAAGATCTTAATGAACATGTGGCGGTTACATGTTTCAGTCATCATTGATCAATTGGCCGATCATTGAAGGGCGATTAAAGATGATCCAAATATACACTGAGTTCACTTCATAGATTGCTGTGGACCGTCACTGTCAGCGTGGTCACGGATTGATTCCATACTACGATCGTTTGGATGTGCATTTCCTCGTTTTGTTCACTAGCATGGGTCATAGCAAGGCTAATAGTGAACGATCATGCAGTCAAGCTCTCCGACCTTTCTCAATGTATGCTAAACCGCCGAGTTCAAGATTAAAGGTATAAATGATCAGTGAGAACGCTTCTGTATGTATTCGTGCTAGGGAATTCCCAGGGGCTTCCCTGGGAATGTGGAAGCAGTCCGTCAGTGTTTCCGTCATTTCAAAAACACGGTTTTGTCTATGCACTTATGAACGTCAATTTCGCGGTCATGTGATCGACCTCTCACCTAATGGAAAAGCCGTATATCATGTAAACTTCAAATATATATCTATGTGTTATATATTGTAGTTACAGACACAATCGATTTCACATTACAGGATCTTCAACAAAGACTACAAAATACACGACGACAAGTCCAAATTACAACAAGGGTAATACTTTCACTATCTGTTGTGAAAAATTGTGTTATTGTCCTATTGTAAAGTTATTAGAGTGCATATTACATCTGAACATTACATCGTACACCACCTGTAAAATATATATCTGAGTCACATTAACTGTACGGTACACGTGAGTGTGGAGTGTCAGTATTTACAAAGCGTCGCGTATGAAGGATGGCTTCTGTGTTCATCTCCCCTGTAAAACCTGGTAGCTTTGTGTTATTGGTACTGATACTGATGAACCCGAGACACACACACAGTACTACCAGCAATACTGCCACAGGTGAGAAACAGATTTCATATTATTAGTTGTCTCGTCTTGGATATGAATGAGCACTTGTAGAGGTGCGGGTGCAGGTGTATAATTATTTATTAGGTTTCCTACTTAGATTTTGTACTTTGATGTGGATTATTTGTATTGGAGTTACATGCGATTTCGATAATTCACTCTGTTTTAAGTAAATGATTATTGAGCATGGCAGTGTGTATACATATATTGTTCTGTCAAACACGATATATCAGAATAATTTTCGCTTCTTCAAGTGTCATTTTCTACAATTTATAATCGATTTCACATTACAGGATCTTCAACAAAGACTACAAAATACACGACGACAAGTCCAAATTACAACAAGGGTTTTACTTTCACTATCTGTTGTGAAAAATTGTGTTATTGTCCTAATGTAAAGTTATTAGAGAGCATATTGCATCTGGACATTACATCGTACACCACCTGTAAAATATATATCATGCACAAAGAATTGTGGATCTAACTAAGCCTTTGATATGATTTTGTTATGACATATGCTAATCTTTGTGTAATATATTTATCATATACTTCAGTGGGAAAGACTGTGTTTTCTCAAGTTCAGAAAAGCGATATTTTCATTGCAGTGAACATAGCACTTTATATTTCACCGCACAAATGTGATATTTAACTTTTGTTATTATTATCATTCTCTTGAAAATGTTTCTTTATAAACTGTATTTTTTCATTTCACTCGTAAATCGAGACTGTTCGTTTTGCAATACGCTATTTTAGTGACTTGATCAGCGTGTATTCTTACACTTCTAACAGCGGTTTCGTAGATTTTTAGTATAGTTTCTGTTGAAGTTTATTTTGTATATAATCATATCCAAATGCATGATAAAGAATTGTATTGACAACAAATGTTGTTTGTAACTTTTCTTTATATTTGTTAAGATTTTGTAAACAATGAACTACTTTTTAAGCTGCAATTATGTCAAACTAATTACATAATTGTTTTTCCTCAGACAACTTAACATTTGAATCTTCCTGTGCTGCTCTCAATTGGTCGGCAGCGGTGACAGACTGCATCAACAAGGGCGCCGCGATATTCTCTTTAGAAGATTTAAGGACATCTAGGGGCGGCAATGTGTTAAAGAAGGCTAAGGCTGAACATACCAAGATATGGATAAAAATAAATGGTAATGTTGTGAACCTTGATCACCCGCCACTGCTTTTACTGAACCTTACTCTCCCTCACATCAAGCTTGTGACATGAGCTACAGTTCTACAATGTTTATTGCCACACAGACAGAATGGCGAAACTGATCGGCATTCAACTGAAAATGGTTAACTATTGTTGAAAACATCCAATTGTTAAAAACAGATAATATAATGGATGAACATCCACTGAATAGTATTCTTAACCCAACAGGTACCTGCTGGACAGCTGACAAGGAGACATTCCAGGACGCCAACTGTAGTGACTCCAACTATTATGTCTGCAAATCGAACACAAATACCAGTGAGTATCTATCACAGAGTGTATCTATTGGCATCATAAATACTAGTACACAGGCAAGGGCGTATGGCAGTGAGTCGATTAGTGTGCCCTTCTGTGTAAACAGCCTGTCATGGACTCAAAGTGTTCGTATAAATATACTCCAAGCTCAAACCTTGAGGATAACCTTGTCATCAACTCTCATGTTTAAGAGGGTTGGACACGATCAGTGACATATGCATCTTGTCAAATGTGAAAGATGAGACAAAAGGCACGGTTAACACATTGATATATTGACATGTTTTGCGGCTGGCGTTACGTTACACAGCTCGACCTGACTAGTTGCGTATGTAAAATGGGTAATACTTCTGATGTAAGTTCATGGTACTTTTTGTGAGAAATAATATATGTGTATTTAAAACAGATTTTTGCGCTTTCAAAATAATTTGTATCTTACATTGACAGGTTCTGATTGGTACGTACCTTGTCGAAATGAAACCACGGATGCTTCCACACAAGGTACATATCATGTATACAATTGTAGTGTCTCCATATCCAACCGGAGTGATGTCTTTTATGTAAAATGTACATTAATAGGCAGAAACGAATATTACTTGGCGATATGTGTTTTGTATTTATATACACATTAACGCCTCAATGTTCGTGAAACAGTATTTCAATCGTGTAAATGATGAAATATTCATGTAAGAATATATCAGTAATATATTTTTGTAAACATGGATTACCATTTACCTATTTTATCCTTGACAAGTACAAGTCTACCTATCTGTTGTACTTGAACGTTGTATCCACACAGGATCTACAAAATCAACACCACAGATTCCAACCACAACCCATGGATCAAACACAAAAGGTAATCCACATTACTGTAAAACTGTGTAATGGTACATTGCGCGCTTTATGATCGTGTAATCATAGTTTAGGTAGTGTGAATTAATGACAATATTATTTATTTAATGAATGAAAACAATCAGTTCATGTTATATTACATTTATATTAAATTACTTACTTATAAAATTGCTAAATATGGAGCAGCAAATTTATTCACTGACATATAGTCATAGTCTCACTTGAACATATAACCTTCAAGGGAATAGTCGTACAATCACGTTTACAGTTGTTAATATCGACCTAGGGGCGGTCGAGTAGCCTCGTGGTTAAAGCGTTCGCTCGTCACGACGAAGACCCGGGTTCGGTTCTTGATATGGGTACAACTTGTGAAGCCTATTTCTGGTGTCCCCAACCGTAATGTTGCTGGAATATTGTTAAAAGCGGCGTAAAACCATACTCACTCAATAATATCGACCTGTGTGTTGTCCTCTACGTAACGGGGCCACTGTTGGCCCATTTGTCTGAGACGCTGTAATTCGCTGTTGCGTCCCGTGAACACGCCAGACGCAAATGATTGTGGGTTCGAATTCCGGTTCGCCCCGATTATCTTTTTAGGTTTGTCGGCACCATCCCCGTGCTCGTGGATTACACCAAAGTGCTAAACGTTTGATACCTGCATCATTTGTGCTTATTTCCCACGTGAAGCTGAGACGCCCTGATGTAGCTGTAATATTGTTCAAAGCGACGTTAAACCCCCCTCACTCAGTGATTCATTCTCCATGGTGACATCTACATTGATAGGCAGTAACGAAAATTAATAGGCGATAATTTGTTCCGTTTTGATAAAACCAATAAACAGACGTACGAACATTTACGCCTCTATTTTCGTGAAACAATTTTCAATAACGTAAATGATTAAATATTCAAAGTCGCGAAAGAATATATCAGTGATTTATCAATCTCAAACACGGATAACAAATTACCAAATTTCTCCTGGTCAAGTACATATATACCACCTGAAGAAAGGGCAAGAAGTAGCATCGAAACGTCATAGATACATGGGTAGAGATTACAGAAGAAGAAGAGAAGAAGAAAAATAGTTTATTTAAGTGTCCAGCGGTGTATACATAAAACTACTTCAATTTATACAAGAGGTAAAATATATTAAAAGATATACATCGCCCGGCCAGCGTGGGCCTATTAGACACTAATGTTCTTAAAAGCACCGCAAGTGCTAAAATAGTTATGTTGGACAGTGGTTTATTTATTAATGGTGCACAAAATACGAGATAAAAGTATAATGCTCGTACATTTATGACAAGCATTGCCATACAATGACATGTTTTATCAAATATAAAATATACAGAGGCATACAATACTGGAATGGGTTTATGACACGTTGTTATATAACCTACGTTTGTACATGGATTTAATTAGTGCAGCTACAGAATAGGATAAATTATCGCACTTCATAAGGAATGTGGTTTGATCTATAGGGGTCATGAGACAAAAATTTGGGCAAAGAGACGAGGCATAACCCCAGACATATTCTCGTTGATCTGCATAAAGAAAACACGTTGTTAAGAAATGAACCTCGTCTTCGATACTGTTTGTATTACAGTGTTTACAAATACGATTATGTAAGGGAATTTTTGGTTTCAAGAAACGACCGAGTTCAATTTCCAGAGGGAGGGTACCACATCTAAATTTAGCAAATATACTACGGTGTTCTCTGTTGGCTAAATCAATGACATATTTGGAGGTACTTAAAGACGTTTTAAACAATCGATATGTTCTTAACTTAATACCATTTGTTAATCCTCTGTCATCCCAGAGCTGTTCCAACCATAATTCCTTATCCTTATTGATGAGTATATTTCTAGCAAGGTCGAAGTCACAAGATAATAGGTTAGTTATAACAGAAGTAATTGATTTCACATCGAATAATTTCTTAACTGAATTATCCCATGACTTACGAAATTTAGATGACCATCTTTGCACTATATGCATTAGCCTGTTTTCATCTGCCAAACTCAGCCTTTTCCAGAAACGTACTATCTCAATTTTTTGCTTTGTATAGTTAGATGACCAGCCCATTTCCCCCCTTACTGCCAAATTAGGTGTTTTGTTGCCTACTCCCAAGAAAAAGCGGCAAGCTCTATTTTGGATAGCGTTAATACAACTAAATTCTTCGGTGCCCCAAATAGCTGAACCATATGATAAAATTGGTTGAACTAAGTTATTGTATAATGTAGTGAATACATCATAATCCATGCCGCCCACCGCTTTAAACTTACTGATAATTACCCCAAGTGCCCTACTGGCTGATTTAGATATTTCTTTTGCTGTATAATTCATATCTAAGTTTTCATGTAACCAAAGCCCAAGATACTTATATGAATGAACAATTTCTATATTTTCCGCACCACAAGTAAAGTGATAGGATGACTTAACAGAGGATATGTTACGATAATGAACAATTTTTGTTTTTTTGCTATTTAATTGAAGGCGCCATTTCTTGCACCAATTGCCGACACAGGTTAACATTGATTGTAATGACTTTTCATCGGGTGCTAAAAGAGCGATATCGTCAGCATACAATAAAATACTGATTATAGAATTATCAACCTTTATTCCGCATTTAAGATCATTAATTTCTTTAACTAAATCATTAATAAAAACAGAAAATAGCGTAGGCGACAGAACACAACCTTGTTTTACACCGCTTAATACAGCGAAGCTGTCAGTCATTTTACCATTTATAAAAACCCGAGAGCTATTATTTTCATATAGCGATTTAACTGATCGGAAGAACTTTCCGTTTATTCCCAATCTATGTAATTTATACCAAAGTCGCGAAAGAATATATCAGTAATTTATCAATCACAAACATGGATAACAAATTACCTACTTTCTCCTGGTCAAGTACATATATACCACCTGAAGAAGGGGCAAGAAGTAGCATCGAAACGTCATAGATACATGGGTAGAGATTACAGACGTTGATACCCACAGCCATTGCGTCTCCTTGTACTTCAACCTATTCATGACGGTCAAGACCTTATTTTTGCCAATATAATTAAACGCACATATGACAGGACGGGCATATGGGGCATATATTAGTATATATGTACTTGTACGTTGTAATACACACAGGATCTACACCACCGAGTCTAACCATAGGCGCTGGAGCAAATACAAACGGTATTATTTTTGACTGTAAAAGTGTATGATTGTTCATTGTGTGTATTATCATGATTAAGTTATGCATTGATTTGGATGTTACAATGGTATGTTGCTCACCACATATGCCACGCATGACCAACTCGGTGTAACAAACAATAATCTGCGCATCTACATTTGCATGTTTGACATCGTATGTATTCCGCGCTTATTATGTGAATATGTTGAGTGAATGCACAATATGTATGATGTATGCTGTTGAAAACATTTTATTTTGGACTCGTAGATTGATAACAGTTTTCACAACATTTTAATTTGCCTTACGTCAGACTTAACTCCCATTCTTAATTGAAGGTAAATCGAACATGTGATAGCCTCCAATGAAGAGTTCCATTGTATCGGGAGGACTTAGAGAACTACTGCAATACCAATCAGATTCTGAAAAAAAGAATATATTTTCCGTCGAGATGTAATCGATGCATGCTGTCTTTAATGATATATATATTCATTTCTGCTCACAGTTCCAATCATCGCCTCGATCGTATGTCTGATAGCGGTTCTTCCTGCTGTGAGCATTGTTCTTGTGTGTTACTTAATCCAAAGGTAGGAACAGTAACTAGTATTGTTTACAAGATGATGATTCGTGCAAGTTGTTCTTCCTAGTAAGTGGGTGGTACAATTGTGACAAGATCGCTGTCAGACGAATTCATTATACAGTTTAATTCAAAATGTCAACGTTAGAGAATAAGCAGTCTAGACTATCTACCGAAACAGTTTCTATAAGAGTAAAAGGCAAAATTCTGATTACACTTATATGAAAGTCAGTAATGACTGGTAGGAATGTCCTGCTCTTAGACACACTCCAATGAACAATATTAGTCAGCTAACCCAGCACGCTGTGGGGGATTCCGGGTTAGGATCGGTTACCCAGCAACCTGTGGCTGTTGTAAAAGGCGACTTAATCGGTTGGGTTGGTCAGGCTCGGTGAATTTGTAGAAAGTTCTTCATCGTCCCCCGACCATTGCTCACAATATCGATCATTGGATTGTCGGGTCCAGACTCGATTTCCACACACACACACACACACACACACACACTCACACTCACACTCACACACACACACACACACACACTCACACATACACACATTAACGCACGCGCTATCTAGCCTGTCGTCATCAATTGAAAATCCATTTGACCATTGATGGACTATATTTTCAGGAGGAAAACAGGGTCATCGAGAAATCAGGTGAATGTCGCAAGTGAAGGACAACCGGAAGTGGATTATTACTGTCACCTACAAGCTCGAGATGCTTCAGAAATGAACAATTATGCTACACTTAATGAACCTGGAAACAACGAAAGGGCACCTGCAAACCAGTCGGAACAGAATGCTCAATTACACGAATCCTAAAATTGCTCATCACAACTGTAAGGTATGAATTCTGCAGAGACCATCGCCAATACCCACACAAGCTTAGGATGCACTTGCAGGATCTACACAGTTCGTGTCTACTGTTCTTCGGATAATCTTTGATCTAGCCGTGTTCATTCTTTTCCACCGGTACATACATGCATGCATATGATACGTTTCTATAGGTTTACATATCCTTGTTTTTATTCTTTAATATCTTTCTCTGAACGCTATTCAATAAAATATTAATTTTAAAATAGTTGTGATTTGTTTTGTAATTATTTCTCAGTCCTCAGTATCTATGACAGAGGACTATATATGAGAAAATATAAATTCCACAAGTGATGAAAGTAACATTAACACACAAATAAATGAATATTTGATTGCTGAATTATCTAAAATATAAAACCAACCGTAAGTTAGTAGTCATGTATTCCGGCCAAAGTGTTAGTAAATATTTCCTGTTTCAGTTTAATGGTCAACTTTGTTCGATATCTGTGAAGATTCAAAGGTTATTTAATTAGAACATGTTGTCATACAGGGAAATGTTTTTCTTTCGCCAGTTCGAAGGAACGAAACTGTGCTCCGAATGACGTTAATTCAAATACTGTGATTGAGTTTAGGTTATCAAATACACGTGATTGTTGTTCTCGCAATCCATATCAGACGTTCAATTCGTTAGCTTTGTATAACCCTGTTTGTGTGGGTATTTGACATGTTAATGGTTTCATACAAGTTTGATTTTCTCTTATATTCACGATACATCTATACAAACATAGAATATTGTTAACTATGGGCCTGAGGTTTCTACTCACTGAATTATTGTCACTTAGCTGTGCTCCTGAGACCAGGGTGTCACTATAAGAATAAAGCAATAATAGAAAACGTGGTAAATGTCTTATTCTTATCAGCTAAAGGTATCTAAAGAGTGAGTGAGTGAGTGAGTTGAGTTTAACGCCGCTTTTAACAGTATTCCAGTTATATCGCGACGCGTCAGCTTAATGTGGGAGGAAAGCCCGAAGTGATGCAGGTCTCAGACCTTTACCACTTCGGTGAAACCCACGAGCACGGGTATGGTGTTTACAAACCTAAAAGCATAATCGGGGCGAAACGGGATTCGAAACCACAATCATAAGTTTCTGGCGTTCCCACGGGGCGCGACTCTGTACAGCAAATTGCGGCACTTTAGACGAGTGGACCATCTAAAGAGAGACATAGGCATAGACATCGACATCTACATCGACATAGTTTATTCCATAACTAACCACTTAGAGTGGTACAAGGACGTAAATGCAAGAAAGTCATTTGATTAACAGAGGACAGTATGATATTATACACCATTTAACTATACAGGAGACAAATCCGCCGAGGTTTCTTAACACTGAGACTTTAGGAGCAGAAACAGTTTTTGAAGTTTATGATATTTAGGCTTGACATAATAGTACTTTTTAGGAAAGCGCTGACGATCAGTTTCAAAATGTGTACACTCAAACAAGTAGTGAAACCTAAAGGCTCAAGACCAAAATGACACTGTCCAAGATCACTGATTAATCTAAGTCATGAGCAAATATACAAGCTGATTAGCTGATCAACTGTGTGACAGCTATTACCAAACACTCTGACCAGAAAGCCGCATAGACGGCCAATTAAACCGGCTGTATCCAATTAACACCTGGGAGTAAATTAACTCAAATATCGGTTCACTTGTCAGACATCCCATTTGTCAGACGACCCAATAATCAGACAGATCAGTCAGGTGTGATCAGTGTAACTGACTGGCTTCACCTACTACTTAATGAGCTGCCACGCACTGTAGGTAGAGTCAGCTACTCGAACTCGTTAAGTAAGGAGTGAGTAATCTCGGCTTGGTATGGAAGGGTGAAATGGTAACATAGAGCCTGTCCCTAAAATATGCCTCGTGGACAATTAAGATCAGACGAACATGCCTGATTAAAATCTCAGTCTAAAGTCGTTTGGGCTGAGCAAGGACATCCTGGACTTCTTGAATATACAGGAACTGGACCTAGAGTATCTAGACTCACAACATTCAACACGTACTTCACCTAAAGAGTAACTTGACTCACAACTATAGAAAGGTGTTTGACCTAAACAAGGCAATCCCGGTGAGATTGGTAATTCACGAATTACTAGAAAAGGGGGTATATAGTATAACCCCCTAGCCACACGTTCAGCTCGGTAACAACAGGGGTGAGTAAGTAAGATCAATATCGCCCAATAATTATTTATTAGCAAAACTAACTTTTGACCTGACCACACTACCCATATATGGTCTGGCAAATCGGGATACCGCGAGCGCCTTCTAAGACCACCAACATCTAAACTAAGCATGCACAGTGGGTTATCATGAGTTGATGTTTCACATGAATTTTCATAAGTAGATGGATCGATCTTATTAGCATCGGAAAACTCAGTCTTGCAAAACGTATTTTATCAAATTGAGATAAAATATCACACGCACTCATTTCAGGTGTCGTAGGGTTTATGATTTTGCTAGCTTAGTCCTAATATCAATGTGACACGTGTTCATATCTCTGTGGTCAGTTGTTAATCTCTCACAAACTACTGAAGATAAGTTCTGAATGTATAAGTCTTAGTACTTATAATATCCTCTCCAAGTTGCTGAGCAGTCATCTGAATATCATTATTATATCAAGCATACACAACTATCCTGCTCTCCGCTGTCTGCTCAGTGTTTGAAAAAATATTAAAATCCAGTCCCACAGTCAGGCAGGTGACCCAATATATGTTGTATGCCCATCTTCAAAGTTACCTGCGCACATTCAGATATTATAACTAGTGAAAAATGTCGCGCAATATAAGGGGCAAATAGCATCTTGATTCAGTTGAAATAATGCAAACAATTATTTGGGAGTCAACAGGGAGTTATGATAAAACTGAATACGTAAGTCTTAAAATTATCTGCCAGGTAGCCGGGCAGGAGGACGAAAGTTTCCGGCAGCCCGACAGAAAAGTTACCAGCCACGGGCAGGCAGATATTTCGGACACTGTGTCTGCTTGCACGATCTGACCAAACACAAACACGTGGGCTAACGACAGCGTCACTGACAATACCCGCACATTCAAACACATCCGGTTTATTGTCGGTAGCTCAAACTTGTAGTAGTATCTCACTGACCATGTTAACTAAATCAGTTATCTCGTGTTACAACACCATGCTGTTCCCGCGCTTGTCCACCCGCACTTTCCTTTGAGGGCCTCGTTTTGGTTGTCGGTCTGAGAGGGGGCGGTATATCAGGTGTTTGAAGAGAATTATTTATGAACAGTTTGTCAACAACCGAGTTGACATTTCCCCCCAACGCCTGGCCTTTCCGAACTCTCGCACCAGGACGTATCTGCTGCAGGCGGCTATCTCTTCTGGGAAGTGTTCTATAATATGGAATGATTTCCCTTTTAACGCTTTCCCACAACGTTTGACAGCGTCCCTCTCACGGGTGAACATAAACGTGGCGATGACAGGGCGGGGTCGCGGATCCTCACCCTGACGGGTGGTTGGTTTTTCTTCCCGATTTACGTTTAAAGTGCCTTTTATGACTTTCAAATTAAAGTTCATCCTGCAAGACCTTCTGAGCAGATTTTCAGTTTCTTCCCAAGTTCCACCATCCCCGTCGACTCCACTTAGCTCTTTGATGTTTGTACATATAACATTGTGTCTCTCATAGAGCGAGCTATTTGGCCGATTAGTGATTCTCATAGTGAGGGATTGTACGTCCCCTTCAATTGTTTTCTGATCATTTTCCCACTCGTCAAGACTATCACTGATATAGGTAGCATTGGCATTTCATCTATTGCCTTGACCTTCAGTTCCAGATTCGCAATGTTGACTTTAATGTCACTTTCGTCCTTTTCTACCCGTATCTTTGCTGTTGCATCCTGATTAAGTTGCTGTGCCTGGAGACTAATGTCTTGTTGGTGTTGTCCTTCAACAGGAGTATACGCTAATTTCTGGTACAAGGGGCTAGGTGTTAACAATGTATATAAAGACTCACGCACTATGCTTCCTTTTGTGTATCGACGTGGCACTCGTAGGAATGTCCCCTATATACGAATCACAAGAGTCATTTTGCCGAAGTCCTTTTCTTCTCTTGTTTTCACTCATTTTGTGACATATTGTATTTCTCTTGTCGATTTGTTGCATTAACAGCTCAGTGTACGGTTGAAATTTCGATCAGGAAACATTTGCAGTGAGACCGATTCACAAACACGTCCTCTCCCGCGATCTTATGTCACGTTTTTATGGGTATAGATAACCCACCATAGGATCCTTACACACCCGAGGGAAGTAACTCGTCCACCTCAGCCTTATGTTTTTGTTTGAGAGGTAAAATATTGAAACACACTCTGCTACAACTCCCGTTCCCCGTATGTAGTAATGCAATGTTTATTATGCAATATCATGCATTATTAATTAATGCTGCCTATCGGTGGTGATCGGTCTCTGGTTGCACTGAGATGGTATGCCGCAGTATATCATGAATGCCCAACCAAGACAGATTACGAGGCGACCAGTCCTTGTTTTTCCCCTTAAAGCAGAGCGCCAGGGTAACATAACAACTACTTTTAACTCCCCCGGTAGGACTCAGCCAGGGCATCGAACAACCGACCTTATGGACTTATGTTCTATCCACTAGGCCTCGAATTTAATTAACTAAAACCACCCATGGTCTATGTCAGTTGGGCTTCACTTTGGTAATTGATCAAGACCTTCACTGATGATAAGCTGATTGAGGGAACTGAACTATTTGTGTTGGAATAAGTGGCGATCATACGATGTGGCATGTCATCTAACGGTGTTATATAGCTGGGGTGATGCTCATGCGTCACTACACACTCACGTTTTCAGTGAACTGTCCCTGAACCAGGTCAGTCAAGCCGGTATACGGGTCACTCGGTACAATACGATACTTCCGTGAAATGGCGAGAGGGATATGGGGCTTAGCATTCTCTTCGAGTTATACATTAACCAAAAGACATTATCGTTTCTGTATTTTCAACGACGATCGACTAATATTAAATCGTGAAGTTTAGCAAGTGAAATATGATACTATTTGTATGGTCATAATAAACACACCGATTACTGATCGTGAGGAGGTAACTATTGTCACCCTTCTGCATACATTTGTCAGTATTGTTCACTAAGTAGGAAATATTTTGTTTCAAAAATATCTCTCGATCTGTAACGAAATCAGTTATGAATCCACGTTACTAAGTAGGGAAAGATCGCAACTTGATAGGGACACCACCTTCCACATATGGATGACAAGTTACCAACAAACCGACAAGACAGGAGGGGGCCCCGGGCATGTTTGAGAACCAAAACATGGTGAAAATTAGCATGTATTATTTTAGTTTTTTTTCTCATTTCATTTATTCAAAGAGCAAACCTCGTCGTTGTCCAGTCTCTTTTATCATGACATATACACATTCATGTATATATAGGAAATAATCAACGCCAGAGAATAACTATTCTCGATCGGCCGAACAGAATGGCTTGCCATTGGGTGTAAACACAAAATAGCGGTAAAAGTAAACTACTTCACTCTCAGGTGACTTGTGCGGAATCTTAAGCTGCGTTGTATAATATTGCAGTCATGCATTATCCGTTTATGCTTTCGGACAAATGTATGCAAACATCATCCAACCATAAATATTGACATATTAATGATGTGTTTAGTATTACAATAATACTATGAAATTATGTAAACACATGTATAAACACTGCAACATTTACCTCGAATAAATTATCTGCTTGCTATCAAATACAAGAGGACATGTTGTTTCCTAATAGATACGGGACTTTTCTAAGATAAGGGAACTTTCTTCACTGTACTACGCTAGCCTGCGCTATCAGCTGGGATGTTTATTGTCATAGCCAGTCATGAACTGGTATCAGTAACGAAGCAGGAAACTGAGTCACATTAACTGTATGGTAAGCGTGAGTGTGGAGTGTCAGTATTTACACAGCGTCGCGTATGAAGGATGGCTTCTGTGTTCATCTCCCCTGTTAAACATGGTAGCTTTGTGTTATTGGTACTGATACTGATGAACCCGAGACACACACACAGTACTACAACCAATACTACCACAGGTGAGAAACAGTTTTCATATTGTGGGTTGTCTCGTCTTGTGTATGAATGAGCACTTGTAGAGGTGCGAGTGCAGGTGTATTTATTAGGTTTCCTAGTTAGAGTTTGTACTTTGATGTGGATTATTTGTAATGGAGTTACATGCGATTTCGATAATTCACTCTGTTTTAAGAAAATGATTATTGAGCATGACAGTGTGTATACATATATTGTTCTATCAGAATAATTTTCGCATCTTCAATTGCCATTTTCTACAATTTATAGGCATGGCCACTAATGTTAGTTTATAAGTGTGTTGACCCTTTATTATATAAAACATCTACGCCAGAGAATAACCAGTCTCGATTATCCGACGAAACAGATTCCATTGTGCGTGAACGGCAAAATAGCAATGAATAGTGTATGAGTCTCTGAAACTGTGAATAAATTAACTGAGTCATGGATATGACATAATAAAACATATTCAAATGTATTGGTAAAATATGTTTTTCACGTAACTAAAAAGATCCCATGCTATAAATGCTCGATGTAAAGAGTCACAACTCGCTGTGATTTGCATTCCTTATCCAAATCAGAATCCATTGCTACTTATAAACAGATACTTTTCAATATAGGACATTACATAGTTTTGAATATGATCCCTGGTCCATCAGCACTATTCCTGTGATTGTCATTATTATTTTTAAAATGTCAAAACGTCGATTACGGTTGTCAATATGGCGCAAAATTGTGAAAAGTAGCAGCTTTTGTCATTAGCGTCATTACAAGTGGTAGACTAGACAAACTGCATATCTTTAGTAAGTTAAGGATGTTTGGCTCTCATTCTATGAAGGTTCATACTCCAATGAACTCATACAACTTTTAAATGTTTTTCATATTTTGTTAACCTCAAAGGATTTAGGCCTAGATTTAAACACAATTTTATTAAGTACGTGTGACATCATGTTTACACTGACAGCCATACAACAACCAGCCGTATCGCGGAATAAAATAGTTCCTCAAAACAGAGGTGGCATGAGCTTATGTATGGACAACTTGCTCTTCAGAAACATCTGACACAACACATGTATTCAAATAATATCACCGTTAGATAAGGAAGGTCTGTCAAAATCTCCCTCAGTAAGTCAGTCACAATGACAGCGCGTCGTACGCCGACACAATACACGTGATGGGAGCGATTTCGAAAGTCTAATGAACATGTGGCGGTTATATGTTTCAGTCATCATTGATCAATTGGCCGATCATTGAAGGGCGATTAAAGATGATCCAAATATACACTGAGTTCACTTCATAGATTGCTGTGGACCGTCACTGTCAGCGTGGCCACGGATTGAGTCCATACTACGATAGTTTGGATGTGCATTTCTTCGTTTTGCTCACTAGCATGGGTCATAGCAAGGCTAACAGTGAACGATCATGCAGTCCAGCTCTCTGACCTTTCTCAATGCATGATAAAACGCTGAGTTCAAGATTAAAGGTCTAAATGATCAGTGAGAACGCTTCTGTATGTATTCGTGCTAGGGAAAACCCTGGGAATGTGGAAGCAGTCCGTCAGTGTTTACGTCATTTCAAAAACACGGTCTTGTCCATACACTTATGAACGTCAATTTCGCGATCATGTGACCGACTTATCATCCAATGTAAAAGCCGTATATGATGTAAACTTCAAATTAAAATATATATATATGATATATATGTGTAATATATTGTAGTTACAGGCAAATCGATTTCACATTACAGGAGTGAGTGAGTGAGTATAGTTTTACGCCGCTTTGAGCAATATTCCAGCAATATCACGGCGGGGGACACCAGAAATGGGCTTCACACATTGTACCCATGTCGGGAATCGAACCCGGGTATTCGGCGTGACGAGCGAACGCTTTAACCACTAGGTCACCCGACCGCCCCTCACATTACAGGATCTTCAACAAAGATTACAAAATACACGACGACAAGTCCAAATTACAAAAACGGTAATACTTTCACTATCTGTTGTGAAATCGAATGTGTTATTGTCCTATTGTAAAGTTTTTAGAATGCATATTACATCTGGACATTATTATTGTTATTCTCTTGAAAATGTTTCTTTATGAACTGTATTTGTTTCATTTCCCATGCAATATTTGACCGAGTTATATAAGTATTTCATTTTATTAAATAGAATGAGTGAGTGAGTTGGGTTTAACGCCGTTTTTAACAGTGTTCCAGTTAAATCGCGGCGTGTCAGCTTAATGTGGGAGGAAAGCCCGAAGTGATATTTATTCCATTTTATTAAATAGATCCCATGCAATGTGTAGGTATATATGTATTCCATTTTATTAAATAGATCCCATGCAATATGTGACCGAGGTATATATGTATTCCATTTTATTAAATAGATCCCATGCAATATATGACCGAGGTATATATTTATTCCATTTTATTAAATAGATCCCCTGCAATATGTGACCCAGGTATATATGTATTCCATTTTATTAACTAGATCCCATGCAATATGTGACCGAGGTATATATGTAATCCATTTTATTAAATAAATCCCATGCAATATGTGACCCAGGTATATATGTATTCCATTTTATTAACTAGATCCCATGCAATATGTGACCCAGGTATATATGTAATCCATTTTATTAAATAAATCCCATGCAATATGTGACCCAGGTATATATGTATTCCATTTTATTAAATAGATCCCATGCAATATGTGACCGAGGTATATATTTATTCCATTTTATTAAATAGATCCCATGCAATATGTGACCGAGGTATATATGTATTCCATCTTATTAAATAGATCCCATGCAATATGTGACCGAGGTATATATTTATTCCATTTTATTAACTAGATCCCATGCAATATGAGACCGAGGTATATATACTATCCAAAAAAAGAAACGCATGGGTGTTACTGATATGTCAGAACGAAAATAATACCTATTGTATTGATATTATTGTCAAAATATGTATCAATATTGGTGAGAGCATCAATTGACACACTTCCGTTTGCAACAAATCGATTTTGCTTGAAAATGTTGACTTTGATGTGATTTTTTGAGAATGAGTAAGAAATGCATCGCCACAACGCAACAAGTGGCATCTTGCACGTTGAAATTGGGCAGGAAAAGCATGCAGTGTTTGGCAATAAAAAGCAAGCTTGCTTTCGGAATTAGGCATTCGTCCAGAAGGTGTTTCCATGCCAAATGAACATGCCACGTCTTGATGCTGCCACAAGGAACATCGCCATTGCATGTGGTTTAGCGATGAGTCCAGATTCCTGTTACAGAGACGTGATGGTAGGAACCGGGTCTACAGACGTGTTCATGAACGTTATGCCCCAAACTTCGTGCGTCAAGTGGACAGATTGGGTGGAGGGAGTGTGATGATGTGGGCAGCAATATCCTACACTGGTCGTACCGATCTTGTCTACCTCCAGGGAAACCTGACGGCTGTACGCTACAGAGACACCATCCTGCTACCACACCTCCTGCCAGCCATTGACGTCCAACGTGACATTTTCCAGCAGGACAACGCCCGGCCCCACACGGCACGTGTCACAATGACCTTTCTCGCTGCTAACAATGTCAACGTGCTCCCCTGGCCGTCCCGTTCCCCGGATCTTAACCCAATAGAGCACCTGTGGGATGAACTTGATCGCCGTCTCCGTCAGCGTCAACATCAACCCAAGGCACTAGCTGCTTTTTCTGCAGGAGGAGCGGCGGAGGATATCCCAGGCCATTATCTAGCGTCTCATCCAGTCCATGACAAGGCTTGTGAGAACTGTTATTCGTGCACGTGGTGGGCACAACAGATATTGATACACCATTCACGTTTGAGGAATATTGTGAATGCCTTACCTCAAGTTATGGACATCATTGTATAGACATTGATCTTAAACGGATGTAAAATTTCATGTACTCAAGTTCATTTCCTACCAAGTTATTCATGTTTGAATATACAACATTTTCTCAGCAAATACGGGTTATGCGTTTCTTTTTTTGAATAGTATATGTAATCCATTTAATTAAATAGATCCCGTGCAATATGTGACCGAGGTACGTAGGACCAAGGAATACTCCTGAATATGACCCATATTTCGTCAGCACTATTCCCCTGCTTGTGGGCTGTAAAGATGTCAAAACGTCAACGACCGTCATATTTTTTTAACCTCTCCCCATAATTAAGCTTAATCCCTTTGACATAACTGATTAACACAATAAAATCATGGTTTAAGCTAAAGCTTACTCACTCACTATTTTACTCAGTCTGTCCTGTTTTGATTAAGGTATGAATTATTTGTTGAACTAATGATATAATTGTTTCTCCTCAGACAACTTAACGTTTGAATCTTCCTGTGTTGCTCTCAATTGGTCGGCAGCGGTGACAGACTGCATCAACAAGGATGCCGAGATATTCTCTGTAGAATATTTAATTACATCCCTCGGCAGCAATGTGTTGAAGAATGCTACTGCTGAACACACCAAGATACGGATAAACATAAATGGTAATGTTGTGAACCTTGATCACCCGTCACTGCTTTTACTGAACCTTACTCTCCCTCACTTCAAGCTTGTGACATGAGCTACAGTTCTACAATGTTGATTGCTACACAGACAGAACAGCGAAACAGATTGACATTCAACTGACAATGGTTAATTATTGTTGAAAACATCCAATTGTTATAAACAGATATTACAATGGATGAACATCCACTGAATAATATTCTTAACCTTACAGATATCTGCCAGACAGCTTTCAATGGGTCATTCCAGGTCGCCAACTGTAGTGACTCCAACTATTATGTCTGCACATTGAACACAAGTACAAGTAAGTATCTATGCCAGAGTGTATCTATTGACATCATAAATACTAGTACACAGTCAAGGGCGTATGGCAGTGAGTCGATTAGTGTGCCCTTCTGTGTAAACAGCCTGCCATGGACTCAAAGTGTTCGCATAAATATACTACAAGCTCAAACCTTGAGGATAACCTTGTCATCAACTCTCATGTTTACGAGGGTTGGACACGATCAGTGATATATGCATCTTGTCAAATGTGAAAGATGAGACAAAAGGCACGGTTAACACATTGATATATTGACATGTTTTTCGGCTGGCGTTACGTTACACAGCTCGACTTGACTAGTTACGTATGTAAAATGGGTAACACTTCTGATGTAAGTTTATGGTACTATTTATGAGAAATAAGATATGTGTATTTAAAACAGATTTTCGCGCTTTCTACATAATTTGTATCTTACATTGACAGGTTCTGATTGGTACGTACCGTGTCGAAATGAAACCACAGATGCTTCCACGCAAGGTACATATCATGTATACAATTGTAGTTCCTCCATATCCAACCGGTGTTATGGTGTCTTTTATGTAAAATGTCCTTTGATAGGCAGAAACGAATATTACTTGGTGATATGTTTTGTTTGTTTTTTATATACACGTTAACGCCTCAATGTTCGTGAAACAGTATTTTAATCGTGTAAATGATGATATATTCATGCAAGAATATATCAATTATAATTTTTGTAAACATGGATTACCATTTACCTATTTTATCCTTGACAAGTACAAGTCTACCTATCTGTTGTACTTGAACGTTGTATCCACACAGGATCTACAACATCAACACCACAGATTCCAACCACAACCCAGGGATCAAACACAAAAGGTAATCCACATTACTGTAAAACTGTGTAATGGTACATTGTGCGCTTTATCATCGTGTAATCATAGTTTAGGTAGTGTGAATTACTGACAACATTATTTACTTAATACTTAAATTACTTACTTAAAAAATGGTAAATATGACGCAGCAAATTTATTCACTGACATATAGTCATAGTCTCACTTGAACATATAACCATCAAGGGAATAGTCCTACAATCACGTATACAGTTGTTAACATCGACCTTGGGGCGGTCGAGTAACCTCGTGGTTAAAGCGTTCGCTCGTCACGACGAAGACCCGGGTTCGATTCTCGACATGGGCACAACGTGTGAAGCCCATTTCTGGTGTCCCCCACCGTAATGTTGCTGGAATATTGCTAAAAGCGGCGTAAAACCATACTCACTCACTAATATCAACCTGTGTGTCTGAGACGCTGTAATTCGCTGTTGCGTCCCGTGAACACGCCAGACGCAAATGATTGTGGGTTCGAATTCCGGTTCGCCCCGATTATCTTTTTAGGTTTGTCAGCACCATCCCCGTGCTCGTGGGTTACACACAAGGTGGTAAACGTTTGATACCTGCATCACTTGTGCTTATCTCCCACGTGAAGCTGAGCCCTGATGTAGCTGGAATATTGTTCAAAGCGACTTTAAACCCACCTCACTCAGTGACTCACTCTCCATGGTGACATCTACATTGATAAACAGTAACGAAAATTAATAGGCGATAATTTGTTTCGTTTTGATAAATATACATAAACAGACGTATGAACATTTACGCCTCAATTTTCGTGAAACAATTTTCAATAACGTAAATGATTAAATATTCAAAGTCGCGAAAGAATATAGCAGTAATTTATCAATCACATACATGGATAACAAATTACCTACTTTCTCCTGGTCAAGTACATATAAACCACCTGAAGAAGGGGCAAGAAGTAGCATCGAAACGTCATAGATACATGGGTAGAGATTACAGACGTTGATACCCAAAGTCTCCTTGTACTTCAACCTATTCATGACTGTCAAGACCTTATTTTTGCCAATATAATTAAACGCACATATGACAGGACGGGTATATGGCAGCATATATTAGTATGTTTGTACTTGTACGTTGTAATACACACAGGATCTACACCACCGAGTCTAACCATAGGCGCTGGAGCAAACACAAACGGTATTATTTATGACTGTAATGGTGTATGATTGTTCATTGTGTGTATTATCATGATTTAGTTATGCATTGATTTGGATGTTACAATGGTATGTTGCTCACCACATATGCCACGCATGACCAACTCGGTGTAACAAACAATAATCTGCGCATCTACATTTGCATGTTTGACATCGTATGTATTCCGCGCTTATTATGTGAATATGTTGAGTGAATGTACAATATGTATGATGTATGCTGTTGAAAACATTTTATTTTGGACTCGTAGATTGAAAACAGTTTTCACAGCATTTTAATTTTCCTTACGTCAGACTTAACTTAATTAGGGTAATTCGAACATGTGATAGCCTCCAATGAAGAGTTTCATTGTATCGGGAGGACTTACAGAACTACTGCAATACCAATCAGATTCTGAAAGGAAAGAAAATATTTTCCGTCGAGATGTTATCGATGCATGCTGTCTTTAATGATATATATATAACACGTCCCATTTTAATTCTGGAAACCCAAAAGTCCAGAAACTCTACGCTCTTTGCCCAGTCTCGGTTAAAGGTATTTACAAAATTAAACATGCCGTTTTCATGGGAACATACCAAGGAAGAAAAAATGAAAAAAAAAATTGTTTAAAAACTCAATATTCAGACTATGTCGCCCATGGGCCTGCCCATGGGCGAAGTGTGGCCCATGGGTAGGCCCATGGGCAGGCCCATGGGCGAGAATATGTTCCTTTACTTAAAACTCATGTTTTTCTTTCGCAAATACATTTAATGTATTCATTCAAGTATCATGACACAAAATTTAATTCATTTTAACTTAATTCAACGATTTTATAGCGATATTGAAATATTTTGCCCATGGGCGAGAAAAAGGTTCGGCCCATGGGCGAGAATATGTTCCTTTACTTAAAACTCATGATTTTGTTTCGCAAATACATTAAATGTATTTATTGAAGTATCATGACACAAAATTTAACTCATTTTAACTTAATTCAACTATTTTATAGCGATATTGAAATATTTCGCCCATGGGCGATAAAAAGGTTTGGCCCATGGGCGAGAATATGTTCCTTTACTTAAAACTCATGATTTTGTTTCGCAAATACATTAAATGTATTTATTGAAGTATCATGACACAAAATTTAACTCATTTTAACTTAATTCAACTATTTTATAGCGATATTGAAATATTTCGCCCATGGGCGATAAAAAGGTTTGGCCCATGGGTAGGCCCATGGGCAGGCCCATGGGCGAGAATATGTTCCTTTACTTAAAACTCATGTTTTTGTTTCGCAAATACATTTAATGTATTCATTCAAGTGTCATGACACAAAATTTAACTCATTTTATCTTAATTCAACGATTTTATAGCGATATTGAAATATTTCGCCCATGGGCGAGAAAAAGGTTTGGCCCATGGGCGAGAATATTTTCCTGTACTTAAAACTCATGATTTTGTTTCGCAAATACATTAAATGTATTTATTGAAGTATCATGACACAAAATTAAACTCATTTTAACTTAATTCAACGATTTTATAGCGATATTGAAATATTTCGCCCATGGGCGAGAAAAAGGTTTGGCCCATGGGTACTGTGGGCAGAGTAAGCGGCCTCGTTGAGTGATACAGACTAACCAGATTATGATTGTGTTTGTAAGTTGCGTTTAATCTGTGTCGGGTTGCAGTTGTTTTACTAGGGGTAGTTTTTTCAATGAAACCTTTTAGCCGTTGAGTTTGTTTTGCATTCATTTCATTAAATACATTGTTAGGTAGAATAATAACACGTTATATGGATAAAACATCTCCCTAATCTGAGTATAATCTCACATGTACTCTAAGTACCGTACTATATTACTTTGCGGAGACACTGAGTATAATTTTTTAGTTGGCATTGTATGCTGTCTGAATGACTTTACACAAATCCCTGCATTCAATAGACCCGTGAAGATCTTCAACAAACCATTCCTGGCGTAAAAGGGCGACAGCGCTTGTCGTAAGAAGCGACTACCGGGATCGGGTGGTCAGGCTCGCTGACTTGGTTGATGCATGTCATCGTATCCCAATTTAATGTTTCTCCTTCTTAATCTAACGTTATAACATTTCCGGTCATTGCCATCATCTAATACACAAGAGATGATACCAAGACATATTTTATTCGGTTTTATGGTCTATGCGGTCTTACAATTGATTTTATTAGTCTTTAAATCTTATGTCTAGTAAATATTTTCACAAACAGGGCTGTTAACTGATATAAGGAATGTAACATCCAGTTGAGGACTGAATACGACGTACGTTAGTCTGGTAACGACATTTCTACAATTAATATTTTGAATAAGCCGTTAATACGCCCGTTGTGACAGGGATGATGGTATGGTAGATGTAGCAGACATATTGACAGCCGTTGTTACGCGAGTCACTAGGTTATTAGTACGGCATTGGCCTTGTTGATTGGTACTATACTTTCTGTGGCCACTGGCGGACGTAATTCAAACTCCTTCTACACTGACATCGCACCAAATATATTTGTGTACCGATTACATAACTCTTACTGACAGGGTAGGGTGGTAGTTCACGCGAAACGGACGACACTGTGTATAATGAGCGGCTCCTTTGATATCGCCTCACAACATACTTTTAATGAATGACCAATTAAACGATGATACACATCAGGATCGCGGAGAAAATACAAGCTTCGTTCGCGTTGAATACATATATCAAGGCACAAATTCATCTTTCATTTTGTTTCGCCAATACATTAAATGTATTCATTGAAGTATCATGACACAAAATTTAATGAAAAAATGAAAACTCAATATTTAGACTATGTCGCCCATGGGCGAGAATATGTTCCTTTACTCAAAACTCATGTTTTTGTTTCGCGAATACATTAAATGTATTTATTTAAGTATCATGACACAAAATTTAACTCATTTTAACTTAATTCAACCATTTTATAGCGATATTGAAATATTTCGCCCATGGGTGAGAAAAGGGTTTGGCCCATGGGCGAGAATATTTTCCCTTACTTAAAAATTATGTTTTTGTTTCGCAAATACATGCAGGTGTTCTTACTATTTTCATGGCACATAATGTAACTCAATTTTACTCAATTCAGCTATTTTACAGATTTATTGAAATATTTCGCCCATGGGCGAGAAAAGGTTTTGCCTTCGAAATCCTTGATTATTATATCATGCCAGAGTTCTGAAATTCAGTGACAATGCTGTTGAACAGTAGAATCTGATGGACGTATTGTGCAGAACCTGTTTGACACTATGGGTTCCAGGACCACTAACACTCTGAGCTGAAAAAGTTTGGTCCTAACCGCACCCAACATCTACAAGTTTGTAAGCTTGTAGACATCATTAAGAAGTAATTAACAGTCCCATGCTGAGACCTTTCTAAAAATTCAGACCGCTGGCAGGCTGCCAACAAAGAGAAGAACATATCGCAACCCCGACACGAGTGTGCTCAGTCAAACAATGAACTTACGACCGGCAGAAAACAACTCCAGTTGAGTATGCCGATGCTGTATCTCAGCCGTGTTGGCCTGAAAATTTAAACATGCTAATTAAATCCAAAATCGTATAATTATTTTTAATAGAAACCGTATCTTAATTTGTTCTTGCACTGCATCATATCGTGTATTTCATCTGTATATGTGTAATGTGTATATGTATCAATGACTACACTTATACCGCATATTCTGCAACAGACTATAATTAATCACCTTATTATTGTCTCTCCATTTACCATGGCTGACTACACTAATACCCTTTTAACAGTGGACACCGATATCAGTATACATGTAGGCTTTTTGTTCAAAAAGGAATATGCAGGAAATTATATGTAACAATTAACTGTGTACTAATTACATGTTTGAATGTTATCAGTTTTACGTTCTGAGATACAGTGATGTAAGCATCTTCTAAAATCTTCTAAAAATATAATAAAATACAAAATTCTCTGCCGTAATTTTTTGTGGAAATCATTCGATCAAGTAAAAATGACTGCGTGACAAGACGAATCAACTATTTATACCCGATAAAAGAAACTGCCGTATTTTAGGAACAGTGCTATAACAAGACATTTGAAATTTCTAACAAGCAGATACATTAGAGACAGTGACTAGACTACAGGTACGTAATCCGTATCAATCAAAGGTGTAAAAAAACTGAAAATCATATCTGTCGGAGACCTACCAAATTACCAAGTTTTATCATTACTATATTTATTACAATGCAAATACTTTAGTGATACATTTTTTAGAGGAGAGGACATACACACAAGTATATTGCTTCCGTGTGTGAATGCAGGTTGTACTTGGTATCTCAGTTCTCAGTTTCATACCGGTTGTATAACTGAATTTGTATATGGAACCATGCGTACAGCATGACAATTACTTGCTATTCGTCAGTTTACAACACACATAATACGGTCAAACAATTTTAGGCACCGCTTTTGCGAGTTATGTAGTGCAATAATGTTTTATTAAAATCTATTTCAATTTGTTTTCACCATTTTCCCTATTGACAGTCGTTGTTACGTGCGTCACTAGGTAATTAATACGGATTGACCTTGTTTATTGTTTCTATACTTTGAGGATTTCTGTGGCAACTGGCGGACGTAATTCAAACTCCTTCCGCACTGACACCGCATCAAATATATTTGTGTACCGATTACATAACTCTAATGGACAGGGTGGGGTGGTAGTTCACCGGACGACACTGTGTATATTGGGCGGCTCCTTTGATATCTCCTCCAAACATACGTTTATTGAATGACCCCATTAAACGATGATACACATCTCGATGAATATATCAAGGCACTAATTCATCTTTATAAACATTTTTTTGTCTTTGTGCTTAATATATCCACATATCAACGAACATTTGTAAAACATGTATCCTAAAAAAAATAAACATTTTCAGGCTAGGTATTTGCCCACAGCAACACCTGCATAACTGTTTATTCACGCGTGGTGTGGTAGATCGTAATTGACCGAGAGCAGGTATTGTAGAATCACCTGTAAATAAGGCCGACACTGTAATTAGATACAACGTACTAATGAGAATTATCATAAGAAGGCTGTAGTTTTTTCTGAACTGTTACCATTTTCATACCAAAAGTGACAATGCAGTTAAAAGTTGCTTTAGTGTCACAATATTCACTCACGTTTTCCTCAATCGCATTGAAACATAATTCCCACTGGTCAGTTCGAAACCGCATGTAATTAAATAATTATTTCGAGATTTCGTTAGAATGTAAGATATTCAGCCAAACGTTATGCAATAAAAGACGAATAGTTTTTTTCATTAAAATACGCGCACGCGTACCTGTATATTGCATACCTAGTGTCACGTAATTGCCCAGTGTGATGTATCAACGGGACATTAAATGCGAAATGAAATAGAAACTAACTAAAATTTAATGTTGTGGAAAATAACTCCAATGAATTGGAGTACACGCACATGAATTCCTATGATAAACTGTCAAAACGTTTTGAGAGGTAAGGGAGGGTTCATTAGAGATCGCTACAATATGTAAAACAGGTGAAATTTGTAGAACTAAAGGAAACATCCAACCAAATGCCCTTCGTAAATAGTAATGTAATGATATGATATAAAGTATATTTCACATGATACAATATACTTTGCAAACAGTTACTTGATGCTTGAAAGGGACTGACGAAAACATGGGCGAAATATTTTAATAACGCCGTAAAATAGTTGAATTAAGTAAACATTAGTTAAATTTGAAACAAAATCATGAGTTTTAAGTAAAGAAAATATTCTCGCCCATGGGCCAAACCTTTTTCTCGCCCATGGGCGAAATATTTCAATATCGCTATAAAATCGATGAATTAAGTTAAAATGAATTAAATTTTGTGTCATGATACTTGAATGAATACATTAAATGTATTTGCGAAACAAAAACATGAGTTTTAAGTAAAGGAACATATTCTGGCCCATGGGCCAGACTTCGCCCATGGGCCTACCCATGGGCCACACTTCGCCCATGGGCAGGCCCATGGGCGACATAGTCTAAATATTGAGTTTTTAAACAATTTATTTTTTCATTTTTTCTTCCTTGGTATGTTCCCATGAAAACGGCATGTTTAATTTTGTAAATACCTTTAACCGAGACTGGGCAAAGACCGTAGAGTTTCTGGACTTTGGGGTTTCCAGAATTAAAATGGGACGTGTTATATTCATTTCTGCTCACAGTTCCAATCATCGCCGCGATCGTATGTCTGATAGCGGTTCTTGCTGCTGTGAGCATTGCTCTTGGCTGTTACTTAATCCAAAGGTAAGAACAGTAACTAGTATTGTTTACAAGATGATGATTGTTCTTCCTAGTAAGTGGGTGGTACAATTGTGACAAGATCGCTGTCAGACGAATTCATTATACAGTTTAATTCAAAATGTCAACGCTAGAGAATAATCACTCTGGACTATCTACCGAAACAGTTTCCATTAAGAGTAAAAGGCAAAATTATGATTACACTAATATGAAAGTCAGTGATGACTGGTAGGAATGTCCTGCTCTTAGACACACAATGAACAATATTAGTCAGCTAACCCAGCACGCTGTGGAGGATTCCGGGTTAGGAACGGTTACCCAGCAACCTGTGGCTGTTGTAAAAGGCGACTTAATTGATTGGGTTGGTCAGACTCGGTGAGTTTGTAGAAAGTACTTCATCGTCCCCCGACCATTGCTCATTATATCAATCATTGGATTGTCGTTCCAGACTCGATTTCCACACACACACACACACACACACACACACACACAGACACACACACACACACGCACGCACGCACGCACGCTCACACACACACGCTCACACATTAACACATAAACGCACGCGCTATCTAGCCTGTCGTCATCAATTGAAAATCCATTTGACCATTGATGGACTATATTTTCAGGAAGAAAACAGGGTCATCAGGAAATCAGGTGAATGTCGCAAGTGAAGGACAACCGGAAGTGGATTATTACTGTCAACTACAAGCTCGAGATGCTTCAGAAATGAACAATTATGCTACACTTAATGAGCCTGAAAACAACGAAAGGGCACCTGCAAACCAGTCGGAACAGAATGATTAATTACACGAATCCTAAAACTTCTAATCACAACCGTAAGGTATGAATTCTGCAGAGACCATCGCCAATACCCACACAAGCTTAGGATGCAATTGCAGGATCTGCACAGTTCGTGTCTTCTGTTCTTGTGATAATCTTTGTTCTAGCCGTGTTCATTCCTTTCCACCGGTACATACATGCATGATACGTTACTATAGGTTTACATATCCTTGTTTTTATTCTTTAATATCTTGCTCTGAACGCTATTCAATAAAATATTAATTTTAAAATAGTTGTGATTTGTTTTGTAATTATTTCTCAGTCCTCACTATCTATGAAAGAGGAATATATATGAGAAAATATAAATTCCACAAGTGATGAAAGGAACATTAACACAAAAATAGATGAATATTTGATTGCTGAGTTATATAAAATATAAAACCAGACGTAATTTAGTAGTCATGTATGCCGGCCAAACTGTTAGTCATTATTTCCTGTTTCAGTTTAATGGTCAACTTTGTTCGATAGCTGTGAAGATTCAAAGGTTATTTAATTAGAACATGTTGTCACACAGGGAAATGTTTTTGTTTCGCCAGTTTGAAGGAACGAAACTGTTCTCCGAAGGACGATAATTCAAATACTGTGACTGAGTTTAGGTTATCAAATACACGTGACTGTTGTTCTCGCGATCCATATCAGACGTTCAATTCGTTAGCTTTGTTTAACCCTGTTTGTGTGGGTATTCGACATGTTAATGGTGTTATACAAGTTTGCTTTTCTCTTATATTCATGAAACATCTATACAAACATAGAATATTGTTAACTATGGGCCTGATGAAGTTATTGTCACTCAGCTGTGCTCCTGAGATCAGGGTGTCACTATAAGAATAAAGCAATAATAGAGAACGTGGTAAAGGTCTTATTCTTATCAGCTAAAGGTATCTACAGAGTGAGTGAGTGAGTTGAGTTTAACGCCGCTTTTAACAGTATTCCAGTTATATCACGGCGCGTCAGCTTAATGTGGGAGGAAAGCCCGAGGTGATGCAGGTCACAGACGTTTACCACTTCGGCGAATTCCATGAGCACGGGTATGGTGCTGACAAACCTAGAAACATAATCGGGGCGAAATGGGATTCGAACCCACAATCATACGTTTCTGGTGTTCCCAAGGGACGGGACTCTGCACAGCAATTTCCGGCGCTTTAGACGACTGGGCCATCTAAAGATAGACATCGACATAGACATAGTTTATTCCATAACTAACCACTTACAGTGGTACAAGGACGTAATTATAAATGCAAGCAAGTCATTTGATTAACAGAGGACACTCGCATGTGTATGAGTATGATATTATACACCATTTAACTATACAGGAGACAAATCCGCCGAGGTTTCTTAACACTGAGACTTCAGGAGCAGAAAAAAAGTTTTTGAAGTTGATGATATTTAGGCTTGACATAATATTATTTGTTTAGGAAAGCGATCAGTTTCAAAACGTACACACTCAAACAAGTAGTGAAAGTCGTCACCGACAACCTAAAGGCTCAAGAACCAAATGGCACTGACCAAGATCACTGATTAAGGTTATATCCCATTAGTTAGACGTCCCATTAGTTAGACGTCCCAATTGTTAGACATTTTTATTTAGGCAAAGAGGGAATATACCTACAGGTGTAATGGATCAGTCCTAATTAGATTAGGGTACTGCGTAGGGATAGGGGACTCACAGTTTAGGGAGTATATATGTTACAATTTCGTTTAATTAACCTAAATTACCTTACTCTCAGCACAGGTTCAATAGGCATGAGATTAACTATGTAAACTATGGAGTAGCTTAATTGTCTTACTGTATGATCAGTTGAAGGAGTTGAGTTTAGATTATCTATTGTCAAACAAATAAATATGAGATTGGGGTACGTCTCATTATCAGTATCAATATGGCTGGTTTAAGGAAAGTAGAGTAAATCACGTCTCGGCGTGGAAGTAAGCAGTTGATATTAGATGGATATATTTACAACAGAAACCGCGAGAGGCAAACCTGCACACATTGGAGATGTGTCGTCAAGACGTGCAATGAGAAATGTACGACTGTCGGTGATAAATAAACTGTAACAGTTATTAAATGTAAAGTGTACATTACCAAAAACTGTCACAAAGTGTTGTTACAAACTGTATAAAATTTATCAAATGTAAAGTGTCATTAAATGTTAAGTATAATATTAAAGTATCTATTTCAAGCTACTTTGCTTTGTTTGTCAGATCTTATCTGGACTATTCCATTTTAAAGTCTGAGGTAACAAGCACAAGGATTAGTGTGCACTCAACCGTTTAAAGTGTTGTTATAAGCTGTCTAACTATTGGGGCGTCTAACTAATGGGAGTTCACCCTGATTAATATAAGTCATGAGCAAATATACAAGCTGATCAGCTGAGCAACTGTGTAACAGCTAGTATCAAACATAGCTTAATCCACACTCTGACAAGAAAATCGACAAGCCGCGTAGACAGCCAATTAAGCCGGCTGTAACCAATTAACACCTGGGAGTTAATTTACTCACATCTCTGTTCACTCCCAATTGTCAGACATCCCATTTGTCAGACGACCCAATAATCAGACAGATCAGTCAGGTGTGACCAGCGTAACTGCCTGGCTTCACCTACTACTTAATGAGCTGCTACATACTGTAGGAGGAGTAAGCTGCACCAACTCGTTAAAGTGGCACTGATCTAACGCAATTCCCCGGGAATGGTTGTTGCCTTTGTTATTGTTTTTTCCCAGCGAGTACCCGGATGTATTGCAGAAATCTAGACTAGTTCGCGACCTCTGTTGCGCCATTCGTAAGCGCATTAGTCACTTTTATGGGTAGTAATAAGGGCGTATGGTCACACTGATCAACAAAATGAAACACAGTTTTCGAGATAATAAGGAAATGTAGGTTTCTTTGTGGGTAGCATCGGTAATGGTGACGAAGTTTTGATAAGTCACTTGCTTGGTAATTTTATGATTTTCGTTTACACTATTTTGATTGGCAACACAAAGTAAATATTTCACCTGAGCATTGCTTTTTTTATAGTGTGTATATATTTTTACTGTCAAAACGTGTTACATTTTCAAATTTATTAAACGCCTAAATATTCAGTTATTTTACAAGTGACTGAAAACCATTTCCATCTGTATTATTATGATAAAGAATTCCAAACATTTTGATGTTCAATGTCATCACCAAGAGACTGAAAATGTTACATTGAAAATAACATTTCTATGTTGTTTGGCTTCTAATACTACATAATAATCTGTTGTGATGTTTGTAGGCCCTTTTGATCATCTTAATCAATCTGGACAATTTTTTTAGTCAAAATGACTGAAATATTTATACATTTTATAAATTGCCTGAGAGAATTACATTTTACAAATTGACGGTAATATATACACGTCTACAAAGGAAAAGACTTGTGAAAACAACGTCTATCGCGCATTGAATAATTTCCCAACCAATACGTAGAGAAACAAGGACGAATCGGTTCAATGCTACAGCAAATGAAGGAAAACAAAATGCAAATACCATAATTACAACCTACCAAATTTATGTGTATAAATTTTAGGCAGCTTCCTTGTTCGAGGAATGTATCCGTGAATATCCACACAAAGGAACAATATCCCACTCGTCTGCAGCTGTACAAAGAAACTTATTCGATGTCACGTGTCTCTGTAACAATCGAATATTTTAAAAGATGCATATCGTTTCGGGATATTATAACCCGTGTTCGTTTTTCAACTGATCACTTGGATTGTTTCAGGTGTTTCACATAGGTGTCAAGTCTCAAAGGTCGGCTGAGAAAGCCCACGTGACAACTATTTTCATAACGTCCACGGTTACTAAAAAATCCATTGAGTGATAGATATCTCTTGTGTGGAAGTGTTCTATAATATGGAATGATTTCCCTTTTAACTCTTTCCCATAACGTTTGACAGTGTCCCTCTCACGGGTGAACATAAACGTGGCGATGACAGGGCGGGGTCGCGGATCCTCACCCTGACGGGGTGATTAGTTTTTCTTCCTGATTTACAATGAAAATGCACTTTATCACTTTCAAATTAAGGTCATCCTGAATGACCTTCTGAGCAGATTTTCAGTTTCTTCCCAAGTTCCACCATCCCCGTCGACTCCACTTAGCTCTTTGATGTTTGTAAATATAACACTGTGTCTCCCATAGAGCTATTTGGTCGATTAGTGACTCTCTCAGTTCCAAATCGTCTTCGTCAGTGCTTTTCAATTCACCAATTTGTTGTTTGAGGGATTGTACGTCCCCTTCTATTGTTTTCTGGTCATTTTCCCACTCGTCAAGACTATCACTGATACAGGTAGCATTGGCTTCAATGTAAGTAGCGCGATCTTTTATCTATTGTCTTGACTTTCAGTTCCAGATTCGCAATGTTGACTTTAATGTCACTTTCGTCCTTTTCTACCATTATCAATGCTGTTGCATCCTGATTAAGTTGCTGTGCCTGGAGATGAATGTATTGTTTGTATCGCCCTTCAACAGTATACGTCATATTCTGGTACAACGGGTTAGGTGTGAACAAAGTATATAAAGACTGACGTACTAAGCTTCCTTTTGTGTATCGACGTGGCACTCGTATAGGAATGTCCCCTCTATTCGAATCACAAGAGTCATTTTGACGAAGTCCTTTTCTACTCTTATTTTCACTCATTTTGTGACATATTGTTTATCTCTTGTCGATCTGTTGCATTAAAAGCTCCCTGTACGTTTGGAATCTCGACCAGGACATTTGCAGTGAGAGCGATTCACAAACACGTCCTCTTCCGCCATCTTATGTCACGTTTCTATGGGTAATGATATCCCATCATACGATCCTTACACGCCTAAGGGAAGTAACTCGCCCACCTGAGCCTTATGTTTTTCTTTGAGAGGTAAAATATCGAAACACACTGTGCTACAACTCCCGTTCCCCGTATGTATTAATGCAATGTGTATTACTTTTATTTGATATGGATTAGACAGCTGTCTGTCGGTGGTGACCGGTCTGTGGTTGCTCTGAGATGGTATGCCGCAGTATATCATGAATGCCCAACCACGACAGATTACGAGGCGACCAGTCCTTGTTTTTCCCCTTAAAGCAGAGCGCCAGGGTAACATAACAACTACTTTTAACTCCCCCGGTTGGACCCAGCCAGGGCATGGAACAACCGACCTTACGGATTTTTGTCCTATCCACAAGACCTCGAATTTAATT